AGGAATGGGCAATTTGAAGAGGGGCAATTTGAGTAGGGGTAGGGTTGGAATTGGGATCCTGCTCGGGTGAGAGCACAAGCAGCGAAGGATGCAAAGGGAGGGGGATATGGCAATGGGAGAAGGGATGAGGTGGGGATTGAGAGGTCGAACAGCTGAGGGATGCAGAAGACTAACCTGGTCATGCACTGGCATCTGGTCCTGGCATGACTGAGCTATGAGCGAATTAAAGTTGGGCAGCAGGAAAGCAAGAAAGGATAGAGGCACCAGTTAGCCCTTCCCCCATCACAGCACCGCCCACGCCCTTAAGCATATCAATGTACCTTGCAACGGCGAATCCGTTGCCCTCGGCGCCATAGTAGGTGGCAGCCACAGTGGGGGCGAAGCGAGTGTGGTGCACGGCTATGTGCTGCCCCTCTGACCCTGGCACCCACGGCACAGGCCCCTGCATGTGCGCCTGGTGGGATTAGGAAGGTGGGAGAAAAGGAGGGCATAAACACGCAGCGTATGATTAACCCAGCTTTCTGAGACACCCAGCGCAGGAGGGCATAAGACACGGCTCGAAGGCCACCTTTCTGAGCCTGACGGCCAGGGAAAGGCATGCAATGTAAGATCTCTGTTTCCCTCTCTCTAACGTTCCCCAGCAACCCAGCAACCCAGCAACCCAGCAACCCAGCAACCCAGCAACCCAGCAACCCAGCAATTCAGAACCAAGCATTGCAGAACCTAGCAATGCAGACCCAGCAATTCAGAACCCAGTACGCACCTTGTCATTTTGGCCATGCCCTTCCCTCCCTTCAACCCAGCACGCACCTCGTCACATCAGCCCAGCACGCACCTTGTCACATCAGCCCAGCACGCACCTTGTCACATCAGCCCAGCTTGTCACCTTGTCTGTTCGCTTCCCTCCCTTCAGCCCAGCACGCACCTTGTCACAGCGGAGCCGGACCATGGAGGAGCGGCGGTCCCCAAGGCCTTCCAGGAGGCGGCAGCGGGAGGAGGAGGAGAGGAAGGCGAGCATGTGGGAGAAGAGCAGCCACTGCTGGCTGTCGCCCACCACCAGCAGGCGCTTGCCCTTCAGACACGCACGTGCAGCACTGGAGGTTAGGGACAAGGGGGGACAGCGGAGACGGTTCAGATCAGAGAGGGGATTGCGATTTAGACGTGTCAGGATAATCAGGTGGGAGAAGACCAGCCACGTCTGGCTGTCACCCACCACCAGCAGGCGCTTGCCTTTAAGGCAGGAGCGTGCGGCACTGGTGGGTATGGGAGAGGGTCAGCGGGGTAAGGCCATTGAGATGTCTCATATTGAGCTGGTGGGAGAAGAGCAGCCACTGCTGGCTGTCGCCCACCACCAGCAAGCGCTTGCCCTTCAGACACGCACGTGCAGCACTGGTAGAAGGGGGAAGGAGCGGGCATGCGAAATGGTGTTGAAACGATTCAGCAAATGTGGGAGAAGAGTAGCCACTGCTGACTGCCTCCCACTGCCAGCGGGCGGTTGCCCTTAAAAAACGCGCGCACAGCTCTGCTAAAATGGGGGGAGACAGGCCAACGAAGATGGAGTTGAGACGTGTCGATGTGTCAGAGTGAGCATGCGGGAAACGAGCAGCTACTGACTGAACGGTGCTTACTCAACCGACACGCTTGCTACGAGCGATTCATCTGACGGGTGCACGTATAGGGGAGGAGTCACCTCTGTTTGATCTACCCCTAAAAGCACACCCCTGAATCTGACATGAAAAGCTACTTATTAGCAATTTCATCTGGGGGTGATGGGCCTGGCATTGCATGCGCAGGGGATTTTGCATTTGAGGCGAATCAGGAGCAAATCTTACCTGGGGGTGATGTGCTGGACAGAGCACGCATAGGGGAACCACTGCTGGTCAATCCACCGCCCGGCGTTCCTCGATTCCTCCAGCAGCTGCGCTGTGCACGCTGGTAGAGACGCCTGAACACGACCATACTCCTCTTCGTATGCCTCCGGATCCGATGGCTGCATGCACAAACAAGGGGAAAAAAATCGACTTCTGAGGTGCCTCAAACAAGGGGAAAAAAATCGTGGAGTATTCAGTTAATTCTTGCAAAGACGATCGTCCCCATTGCCCTCTGCACCAGCTTCAATGATAAGCTGGCATCTACATGCACTGTCGCGCTGCCTTAGCCAACCAACTTGTAAGACGTTTCAAAAATCATCAAGCACCTTTTTATTGGCCGACCAGCTGAAACTTGAGGTGCCTCAAAGCCTCGTCCCTGTCCCTGCAGCTCGTCAGTGATGCAGCACGCACTCCCGTCAGGCACACCGAGGCAACATACCTGTGCACCTTGCATCCCTACCTGAGCAGACACGTTGTACTGGCCGACCAGCTGGAACTTGAGGTGCCTCAGAGCCTCGCCCCTGTCCCTACTGCCTGCCAGCGAGCCGGCATGCACGCCTGTCAGGTACACGGAGACCACGTACTCGCCTGGCTCCAAAAGACGGTAGCATGGCTGGGCGTACAGGGAGGAGGTAGGGATAGGGGAGATAATGATAAAAAACCAAGCAGCCAAATCACACTCCAGTTATCTGCTGCCTGTCAGTGAGGCAGCATGCACGCCTGTCAGGTACACCGAGACCACGTACTCGCCTGATTCCAGCAGCCGGCGGCATGGCTGGTGGTTAGGAAAAGGAAACAGGGATGAGAAGCATAAAGGCTAGAACACCAAGCAGCCAATATACACCAGTTAGTGCGGCGGCATGTAGCCTGTCAGGTACACAGAGGCCACGTTCTCGCCTGGCTTCACTAGAGGGCAGCACGGCTGGGATAGGGAGGAGGTAGGGATAGGGGGGATAAAAGATCATTGACCAAACAGCCACATCACACGCCAGTTATCTGCTGCCCGTCAGTGAGGCAGCATGCCCGCCTGTCAGGTACACCGAGACCACGTACTCGCCTGGCTCCAGCAACTGGTAGCATGACTGGGGGTACAGGACAGAAGTGTTGACTCGGAGGACTTTTGAGCTCGTTCAGGCTACATGTCAGGCTGCACGCCAGGCTGCGTGTCAGGCTGCATGTCAGGCTAGATGTTAAACTGGAAGTCAGGATGAATGTTCTGTCAGAAGATACGCGGGACTAAATGCCATCATAAGCCCCGAAACCCCTTAGCAAACGCACCACGTGGTACCCGTCCTCTGCAGCGTGCGTGACAGGCGCGCTGAGTCGAATCCGGCCGTCGGAGGAATGAATCAGCACCTCCCACGTGGTCGTGGGGGGCGAGCAACCCTTGTCCAGGCGACGGCCCTTAGAATCCTGCGATCAGAGGGAAGGGTGGCGGAAACATGCGGGGAATGGAACGCTTTCTTACACGTTTTGGGATTGAGGATGGGACGTCCTCGGAGTGAAGGAGTGCTTTCCGCGTGGTGGTCGGAGCGAGTTTGCCCAGGCAACGGCTTTTTGAGCTTTGCAAGAGAAAGAACGGTGACTGAAGCGTGAACGTGTAGGAAAGCGTGGATAATGTGAAGTTTGTCCAAAATAGCGGGTTGAGGGAAATATTTGGTTATGGTGAAGCAGCTGATGTTCGTATGACGGATCATTGCAGAGAGGATCATCCCAGAAGCCGTGACAATGATAAGAGAGATGTCTGGCTGAATAGCTGTTTCTGATACAGCAGATGCAGCGGTTAGACTGCAAACCATCATAAGAATGAATCTCATGACGATCCACGATGATGTCAAGAATGACACGAGATCTTGAAAACCTCCGCACCGATCTTGAAGCAAAACTGCTGGTTCAGCTTCACCGACGGCTTGATGCCAGCAGAGTTGGTTCTCGGAGATTCTGGAAAACCAGCTTACCTCTGCAGCGATCTTGAAGCAGAGCTGTTGGTTCAGCTTCACGGACGGCTCGATGCCAGCACCGAACACCTTAACGCCATCTAGTCGGCCATGATTCGAGTCCTTCTCAGCTCCTGTGAAGCACTGCGGATACGTTTTTGATCTGCTACCGACATTGCCTGAGGCTGTTCCAGGAGACGGGATGATGAGGAGTAAAGAAACTACTGCAAAGACAAAGGGAGTCGGCATCGTTTTAAGGGATGTTCTGAAAGCGAATTCCAGAATAAAGGAGGGTGGTAAAGGTGCTGTTAGTTTCTCTGCTCTTAGCTTCCCAGCTTGGATATTACGTCATATGATGGAGCCCTCGGATCACGTTACGACGCTGAACGCCTGTCTAAGAGCTTGAATTCGGTCAGAAACTACGACGTCAAGATTCTCCAGCTACGAAGTCCTGGGTCACGAACAGAAACTATGTATGTAGTAATCTTCTCGGGGAGAAGAGAAAACTACTAATGCGCAGTAAACGGAACTTTTGTCGCCACCGGCAATTAGATGTCTAACGAGGATGGCGACTCCTAAGAAATCTCACGAAGCATCAAGATGAGGACCTGATCACGCACTCGACGATAGAGGATGATCCCAAAAGAAAGAAGAAAATCCCTAGGGGATGGAAGCATGGTATGGAAAATGGTGTGGGTGGTGCCAGATGAGACAAACGCGGCGCGAAGCGTTCAAACATCAGACGGTCTGCGGCTGATCGGGTTTGTGGTCAGTCAGAGTTCGTCATTTGCCTGACGCAGTGCCACCAAGAAAGTCCGTCAATGATGTCGTTCCGTCAAGCATGTTCCGTCAGTGAAGGATGTCTCGAGATTCACGAGGGGGATCGGTTGGAGAATCGATCTTGATGGGGTGTCGCTGCCAATTGCGGGCGATTGTCAATGCCAGCCAACGGGTAGGCTTGGGGGACGCACACGCAGACTCAGAACGCGGTGCGGCACTTGCAGGAACGGGCGGGAAAAGCGCCCTGACAGCTGTCGAACGGTGTCAGAGAAACGAGCTACACGGAAAACGGCTTCGGAAGATCTACCGTAAGGGAAACACATCGACCTATAAAGTTCGTATTTGTACCAAAGTAATGAAACAATTGGGGTGATACAACCAATAGTCTCTAGAGCTGCTGAAAAGAGCATGACCTGCTGTAGCAGTCTGACAAATACTAGCATGCGTTTACAGAACCAAACCATGGTAGAAGAAACAACGATAACGAGCATGCGAACACTTCCACACACATCTACTCTTACACACTTTCTGTACACCTAAAACTACTGCATGTGGAACTGATATATTGTGCCACAGGCTGCACCAGAAGTCTAGGCTAGGGGAGCAAAAGGCCAGCAGTAATACTGACCGTTCCTTCATGCTGTAGTGGAGAATCCCTATTTCTTTCCACAACCTAGAACATAACGAGTGGTCCCAAGTTGGGCACCACCTGGCACAAGTCGCTGCTTCCTATGCAGTTGCTGCTGCTGCATCAGCTGCTAAACCTGGAGTTGCTGCTGCCAATGTTGCCTCACGATCTTATGCAGTCGCCACTGCCTTTACTGCCTTCGTTGCTTCCTTTACCACTGCCGCTATACTTGATGCTGCTACTGAAGCTGCTGTTGCTACTGCCAATGGTGAATGACATCTCCACTGCTGCCAATTGAAGCCACGTGCATCCTTGCTGCTGCGGCTGCTGCTCCTGAGGCTGCTGCTGCTGCTGCTGCTGCTGCTGCTGCTGCCGCTGCTGCCACTGCTGCCACCACTGCTGCTGCTGACAACGGAGGATGACCATGCCATTGCTGCTGATAGACGCCAAATGCACCCTGGCTGCTGCTCTCCCTGGCTGCTGCTCTTTGCCCGACCTGCCTTGGTTGGAAGGTCTACACGCATCTATCATGCCACATGCCATGAATGAACTCGGCGCAAATCACGCCACTCGTCACGCCCACAAAAAAAACCACTAATCCCAGCCTCCCAGCCTCCCAGCACTTGAAACGGCTCGACAGTCTCGTATCTTGCCAGGTGCCACCTTGTCTCATGTCCTTCCGTGTCAACTGCTGCTCCCCATGTCAACTGCTGCTCCCCGTGTCAACTGTTGCTCCCCGTGTCAACTGCTGCTCCCCATGTCAACTGCTGCTCTCCATGTCAACTGCTGCTCCCCGTGTCAACTGCTACTCCGCATGTCAACTGCTGCTCCCCCAACCCCTGTTCCCTTGTGAGTTGGCGAGGGAGACAAAGAGCTCCTGCAGGTCCGTGGGCCGGACCGGATGGGCTTGGTACGCAGAAGTGAGCAGTCTATTTTTGAGGCGCCTCAGAAATAGGCTTGGGTGCGGAAGTGAGCCCGACAAGCCAGCCTCTAATGACCCTCGGTAGCACTTGCAACTAACCCCACTGATGGATGTGCCTCAAGTGGTCTCGTCTCGTGTCCTCTCATGTCCTCTCGTGTCGTCTCATGAGTTGGCGAGGGAGACAGAAGAAGAGCTCCTGGAGGTCCGTGGGGCGGATGGGCTTGGTGCAGAAGTGAGCCCTACGAGCCAGGCTCACGTGACCCTTGGTAGCACGCCTTCCCACGTCTCATGGCTCGCTGCATGCCATGAGTTGGCGAGGGAGAGGAAGAGCTCCTGGAGGTCCGTGGGGCGGATGGGCTTGGTGAGGAAGTCACTATGGACAACAGGGCCCCAGACGTCAACCATTCTCGCCACGTCTCATGAGTTGGCGAGGGAGAGGAAGAGCTCTTGAAGGTCCTTTGGGCGGATGGGCTTGGTGAGAAAGTGATTCATCCCAGCAGCAAAGCACGCCTCGCGCTCAAAGTCAAATGCACTCGCAGTCAGCGCCGCTATAAACACCGCCCGATGCTCCTCCGCCAACCCCTGATCCCCCAACTGCTCCTCCCCCAAACCCTGCTCCCCCAACTGCTGCTCCCCCAACCGCTGCTCCCCCAACCGTTTCCCCGGGCCCTTTTCGCTCACATTGAGTCTACCACTGCCACCCCCACTGCCACCACCACCACTGCCTCCCCTGCTGCTTCCTCCCCCTCCGATTCCTGCTGCTGCTGCTGCTGCCACTGCTGCAGCCACTGACTTCCCAAAGCTGCTGTGTCTCTTCATAACGCCACCAACACCACTGCTGCTACTTCTTCCATCCTTACCCAGCCCAGCAGCAGCAGCAGCAGCCGCCACAGCAGCCGTTCCCGCTGCCCCAGCAGCGCCCCCACCTCCCCTTCGCCTCCCAAAACCCTCCCCGTCACTACCATCACTCCTACTCTCCCCCTCACTCCCACTCCCCCCATCGCTCCGACTTTCCCACTCGCTCCGACAGCTCCTCTCCGCCTCAGCCTTCCTAATCCTCCTGGTAGCCTCTAAACCGTCCATCTCAGGCATATGACAGTCCATAAGGATCAGATCATACCGTGTCTTCAGACACGCGTCCAACGCCTGCACCCCGTTATCCACCACGTCAAATCTCAGCCCTAGGTTCTTGAGCATGCGGGTTACCACTAGTTGGTTCACTTTGTTGTCTTCTGCTACAAGCACTCTCCACTGCCGCGCTACTGCCGGGAGCGCAGGGGCTGCTTCTTCAAACGAACGACGCCGCCCGCCCATGCTTCGGCCGCTCGTATTCCCGACGCTGGTTACCGAACCTGTAGGTCTGGCAGCAGCTTTGGTGGCAGCAGAAGCAGCACTGGTAGGACCGGCACCACCAGAGCTGTACGCAGCGGAAGCGTTGGCTTGGGCAATAGTGGTGGGAGAGAATGGTCCGGCGCTTGCCATGCCTCGGCTGGACGTCTGGCCCGAACCTGCTGAGACTCCGGCTCCCCCGTTGGTTACACGGTTTGCATTCTTCTTGCTGCGGCTTCCCGAACCTGTGCCTGGTATGCTGAGCTTTGGAGGGTGCGAATTTGCTGCCGAAGCTGCGCCGACGGTTCGGCTCCGGACCGGGAGGCCTAAGGAGCCTCGAACGGTCAAGGCTCGGTAATCGAGGGAGGTTCGGGTGGTCCGACGGCGGGAGTAGTCCTCAGCTTCGGCCTCCTCCGAACCTGAATCACCATCATTTTCCTCCCCCTCCTCCCCCTCATCATCACCACCATCTGTGCCCTCCACTTCCTCCTCCTCCTCACTGTTGTACACCCAATCATACTCATCTTCCTCCTCCTCTTCCCCCTCACTAACTGCCTCACACTCGTCCACATCCTCACTCACTCCCGCACACACTGTGAACTCAAAGGTCGACCCCTTGCCCGCCACGCTCGACACTGAGATTTCGCCCCCCATCAGATTCACCAGCGCCTTGCAGATAGCCAGACCTAGACCCGTGCCTCCGAAGCGGCGGCAAGTCGTGTTGTCAGCCTGGTATGGGGAAAGAGGGGGGGAGGAGGATGAGAGGAGGGGGGGGAGGAACTCAAAGGTCGACCCATTGCCCGCCACGCTCGACATCGAGATTTCGCCCCCCCTCAAGGTTGACCAGCTCCTTGCAGCTCCTCAAGGTTTGGGGAGGGGGAGAGAGGGGAGGAGAGGAGGGGAAGGGGGGAGAGAGGGGAGGGGAGGAGGGGAGGATGAACAGGAAGGTTGACCCATTGCCCGCCTCACTAGACACTGAGATTTCACCCCCCATCAGAATGACAAGAGCCTTTAGCCACACAGACCCAAGCCTGTGCCGCAAAATTGACGGCACGTTGTGTTGTCAGCCTGGGGTTGTGGGAAGAAGGAAGGGGGACGCATGTGGGAAGGAAAGAGTAGTGTTGTCTGCAGGCAGGGGATGAATGCGAAGGGGGGAAAAGGGATTCTCAAAAACACCCTGCACAAGCATGAATGCGAAGGGGGGGAAAAGGGATGACTTTAGAGTCAACTAAAAAAAAGGCTCGCTGTCAGGGCAGGAATGGAAAGGCAGGAATGGAAAGGCAGGAATGGAAAGGCGGGAATGGGAAGGCAGGAATGGGAAGGCAGGAATGGGAAGGCAGGAATGGGAAGGCAGGAATAGGAAGGCAGGAATGGGAAGGCAGGAATGGGAAGGCGGGAATGGGAAGGCAGGAATGGGAAGGCAGGAATGGGAAGGCAGGAATGGGAAGGCAGGAATGGGAAGGCAGGAATGGGAAGGCAGGAGTGGGAAGGCGGGAATGGGAAGGCAGGAATGGGAAGGCAGGAATGGGAAGGCAGGAATGGGAAGGCAGGAATGGGAAGGCAGGAATGGGAAGGCAGGAATGGGAAGGCAGGAATGGGAAGGCGGGAATGGGAAGGCAGGAATAGGAAGGCAGGAATGGGAAGGCAGGAATGGGAAGGCAGGAATGGGAAGGCAGGAATGGGAAGGCGGGAATGGGAAGGCAGGAATGGGAAGGCAGGAATGGGAAGGCAGGAATGGGAAGGCGGGAATGGGAAGGCAGGAATGGGAAGGCAGGAATGGGAAGGCAGGAATGGGAAGGCAGGAATGGGAAGGCAGGAATGGGAAGGCAGGAAAGGGGGGAAGAACGGAGGGAGGGAAGGGAGGGAGAGAAGGGGGGGGGGGGGCTTTGGAAAAGATGGAGAGAAGGGCTGAATGAAGCAGACCTATCAGCTGGTTTTGAGTCGGCTCAAAAGCAGACCCATCAGCTGGTTTTGAGTCGGCTCAAAAGCAGACCCCCCATCAGCTGGTTTTGAGTCGGCTCAAAAGCAGACCCCCCATCAGCTGGTTTTGAGTCGGCTCAAAAGCAGACCCCCCATCAGCTGGTTTTGAGTCGGCTCAAAAGCAGACCCCCCATCAGCTGGTTTTGAGTCGGCTCAAAAGCAGACCCCCCATCAGCTGGTTTGGGGGGGGAATGGCTGAATGCTGCCCAGTGAACTGCAGGCTGCCAGAAACGCTCCTGTATTGTCACACGCAGAGCCAAGCCAGTCGCACAAACGCTCCTGTATTGTCACGGCGAAAGGGGGTGGGAGAGCATGGGATGGGATGTGCAGTGAAGAGCCAAGCCAGTCGCACAAATGCTCCTGTATTGTCACTGCGAAAGGGGGTGGGAGAGCATGGGATGGGATGTACGGTGAAGTGCCATCCTCACAATAGGCACAGAACTCCCCCCCCCCCCACTCCGTCAGATCGACCAGGGTCTTGCCGATTGCCAGGCAGGCACCACTTTAGCCGCACTTCGCCCTCATGCTGAGCCACTATCTATTCACTGCATGTGAGTGCCTGCTCTCCCTCTCCCTCTCGCTCTCCCTCCCCCTCTCCCTCTCCCCCTCCCTCTCCCTCCCCCTACCCACATGCCTGGACGCACATACCATACCTGTGTAAATACCTGGAAGGGGCTCCCTTGCACGTCGCTTGAGATGCCAGTCCCCGTGTCCTCAAAAGCACTATCAACGGTGCCAGCGACGAGAACGGTTTTGAGGCGCCTCAAAAGCACTATCAGCGGTGCCAGCGACGAGAACGACTCTCACTGACAAGCGCTTTCCCTGCTTGAACCTGGGTAAAGACTCTCAAGGGACCACATGCTCTCCTTGCTCTCCTTGCTCTCCTTGCTTGTGGGTAAAGGCACCACCCACATGCTCTCCTTGCTTACCTGTGTAAATGCTTGGAAGAGGCTCCCTTGCACGTCGCTTGAGATCCCGATCCCCGTGTCCGACACCGAGTATTTCAGCAGCACCTTGTCCACGTGCCCCCCCCTCCGCTCCTCCAGCTGCAGCAGCGGCGCCAGGGACGAGAACGACTCGCGCCGCCGCCCGCCGCTGCCGCCCGTGTCGGAGGGATCGACGGTGGTGATGCGCACGGTGATGCGGCCCCGCGTGGTGAACTTGATGGCGTTGGACACCAGGTTCAGGAGGACTTGACGCACCCTCACTGCGTCGGCGAGCACTCTCAAAGGGACGTCGCGGCTCACATGTGATTTAAGCTGAAAGGGGAGGGAGGGAAGGGAGGGGGTGGGGGGCGGGGAAGGGGGAAGACGGAAAGTGGGATTCAAGTCGTGAACTTGATGGCGTTGGACACGAGGTTCAGGAGGACTTGGCGCACCCTCACTGCATCGGCCAGCACGCGGAGCGGCACGTCCCGGCTCACATGTGACGAGCTGAATTGGGGGAAAAGGGCGGTGGGTGGAAATGGTGGTGAGGGGAGGGTGGGGAGGGAGTGGTGATGCGGCCCCCCGTGGTGAACTTGATGGTGATGGACACGAGGTTGAGGAGCACCTGTCGCACTCTCACCGCGTCAGCTAGCACGCGGAGCGACACGTCCCGGCTCACATGTGACTTGAGCTGAAGTTGGGGGGAAAAGGGCGGTGGGTGGAAATGGTGGTGAGGGGAGGGTGGGGAGGGAGTGGTGATGCGGCCCCCCATGGTGAACTTGATGGCGATAGACACGAGGTTGAGGAGCACCTGGCGCACTCTCACCGCATCAGCTAGCACGCGGAGCAGCACATCCCGGCTCACATGTGACTTGAGCTGAATTGGGGGGAAAAGGGCGGTGGGTGGAAATGGTGGTGAGGGGAGGTTGGGGAGGGAGTGGTGATGCGGCCCCCCATGGTGAACTTGATGGCGATGGACACGAGGTTGAGGAGCACCTGGCACACTCTCACCGCATCAGCTAGCACGCGGAGCGGCACGTCCCGGCTCACATGTGACTTGAGCGGAAAAGGGGGGAGGGAGACGGTGGGTGGAAAGCGTCAGGCGGAAAGCGGTGGGGAGGTGAGGGTGGGGAGGGAAATACCTTTGAGGCGCCTTAAAAAGGGGGCGGTGGGTGGAAGGAAAGCGGTGGGGAGGTGAGGGTGGGGAGGGAACGGCGACACGGCCCGGCGAGGCGAACTTGATGGCGTTGACGAAACTGGGGTTACTTACGTTACGCACATGGCTTCTTGTCCCTTGCAGACATCTCGTAGAGCGAGAGCGAGTGGAGGAGGGGCTCCCTCACATCAAACTCGGCAAAGCTCAGAGTTGATCCAACTGCAGCGCCAAAAAGGCTCAAGCCCCACCCACCTGCAGCTTCTTGTCCCTTGCAGACATCTCGTAGAGTGAGAGCGAGTGGAGGAGGTGCTCCCTCACGTCAAACTCCGCAAACTCCAGAGCCATCTTCTCGTTCTCAATCTTGCTCAGATCCAGAATGTCCGACAAGATGTGCAGCAGCCCCTGGCTCGACGACCGGATCGTGTCCACCAGCATCTGCTGCTCGTCAGAGAGGGGCGTGTCCAGCAGCAACTCTGCCACCCCGATGACTCCGTTCATCGGGGTCCGGATCTCATGGCTCATATTCGCCAGGAACTGGGTTTTAGCCAGGCTCGCCTTCTCCGCCTCCTGCTTCGCGCGCTGCAGATCGGCTTCCTTCCGCTTCACCTCGGCCATGTCGTGCCACACCATGAGGTACACGTTCTCCCCAAAGAATTCTACCATGCGGCAGAGGACTTCGACGAGTACTGCCCCCCCCTCCTCGTCCCGAAACACCCACTCGAACCGCCGCCACCGGTTCCCCGAGCCTCCCACCGAGTCTGCCGCCGCCAGGCCCAGCACAGCAACGGAATCCGCTGCTGCTGCCGAGCCTCCTGCCGAACCGGACGCAGCAGCGGCAGTGGCGGCAGTGGTGGCGGGAAAGGGAGAAGCGGAGGGTGAGAGGCCATGGTGGTGGGTGCCCGAGGGGCGGGTGAAGGGTTGATTGGAGGCGAGCTGGGCGAGAATTGCCTTGAGAGTGGAGGCAGGCTGGTTGGTGGTGGGCTGCTGGAGGGGCGAGAGGCGCCAGGGCGTGCGGCCCAGCAGCGACTCCTTGGTGGGGCACTTGAGGATGCGCACCGCCGCCTGGTTGCAGTCAAACACGCGCCCGTCCTTGGTCAAGAGGAGCTTCGGGTCCTGGGGGGAGGAAGGTGGGAGAGGGATGTGAATTAATGTGCTGCTTTGTTTGTGCAGGGGTTGCAGTCAAACACGCGCCGGTCCTTGGTCAGCAGGAGCTTTGGGACCTGGGGGGACTGGGGGACGGGGGGTGAGAGGAGAGCGAGGAAATAGGGGATGAGTGTTTGAGTCTGTTTGACAAGAGGGGCTTTGGCCGCCTGGTTGCTGTCAAACACGCGCCGGTCCTTGGTCAGCAGGAGCTTCGGGTCCTGGGGAGGTTGGGAGAGAGGGGGGGAGGGGGAGAGGTGGGGGGGAGAAGGGGGGAGAGGGAGGGGGAGAGGGAGGGGGAGAGGGAGGGGGAGAGGGTGGGGAGGTAGGAGGAATACATGGGTGGCAGGGTGCTTGATTGGCGATAGTGGGTTGGGCCGCCTGGCTGCTGTCAAACACTCACGCATCAATTCTTACTAAGCAGGGGCTTCGAGTGCGGGGGGGTACAAGGGAGGGAAAATGGCGAGGTTGGTCCAAGGCAGTATGGGTATTGCGGCTGTTGCCTCCAGGGCAGGGGAGTTCCTGCCTTGATGCGAATCCACACGGACTGGTTCCTGTGGCTCTAGCTTCGAGTTAACCCAGGCATCAGCTTGGCCTGTCACCATGCCTGTCACCATGCCTGTCACCATGCCTGTCACCATGCCTGTCACCATGCCTGCCACCATGCTTGTCACCATGCGCTTTTTACCGAGGCAAGCCCTTACAGAGAAGAGCCCTTACAGAGGAGAGCTCAAAGAGCATCTTGAACTTGAACAGGTTCTTGCAAGCTCTCGATTCGAGTCGACCCAAGCATCGCTTCCATCCATCCATTGCCTTGCGAATTGTGGTGGACTGCAAGAAGTCGACTCGTCGCTTCCATCCATTACCTCGCGCTCTCTTCCTCTTACCAACGAGAGCTCAAAGAGCATCTTGAACTTGAACTGGCTCTTGCAAGCTCTCGATTCGAGTTGACCATCTATTACGTCCATCAGAGCTTTCACTCCATCAGAGCTTTCACTCCATCAGAGCTTTCACTCCATCAGAGCTTTCACTCCATCAGAGCTTTCACTCCATCAGAGCTTTCACTCCATCAGAGCTTTCACTCCATCAGAGCTTTCACTCCATCAGAGCTTTCACTCCATCAGAGCTTTCACTCCATCAGAGCTTTCACTCCATCAGAGCTTTCACTCCATCAGAGCTTTCACTCCATCAGAGCTTTCACTCCATCAGAGCTTTCACTCCATCAGAGCTTTCACTCCATCAGAGCTTTCACTCCATCAGAGCTTTCACTCCATCAGAGCTTTCACTCCATCAGAGCTTTCACTCCATCAGAGCTTTCACTCCATCAATTCATCAGAGCTTTCACTCCATCAGAGCTTTCACTCCATCAGAGCTTTCACTCCATCAGAGCTTTCACTCCATCAGAGCTTTCACTCCATCAGAGCTTTCACTCCATCAGAGCTTTCACTCCATCAGAGCTTTCACTCCATCAGAGCTTTCACTCCATCAGAGCTTTCCACTCCATCAGAGCTTTCACTCCATCAGAGCTTTCACTCCATCAGAGCTTTCACTCCATCAGAGCTTTCACTCCATCAGAGCTTTCACTCCATCAGAGCTTTCACTCCATCAGAGCTTTCACTCCATCAGAGCTTTCACTCCATCAGAGCTTTCACTCCATCAGAGCTTTCACTCCATCAGAGCTTTCACTCCATCAGAGCTTTCACTCCATCAGAGCTTTCACTCCATCAGAGCTTTCACTCCATCAGAGCTTTCACTCCATCAGAGCTTTCACTCCATCAGAGCTTTCACTCCATCAGAGCTTTCACTCCATCAGAGCTTTCACTCCATCAGAGCTTTCACTCCATCAGAGCTTTCACTCCATCAGAGCTTTCACTCCATCAGAGCTTTCACTCCATCAGAGCTTTCACTCCATCAGAGCTTTCACTCCATCAGAGCTTTCACTCCATCAGAGCTTTCACTCCATCAGAGCTTTCACTCCATCAGAGCTTTCACTCCATCAGAGCTTTCACTCCATCAGAGCTTTCACTCCATCAGAGCTTTCACTCCATCAGAGCTTTCACTCCATCAGAGCTTTCACTCCATCAGAGCTTTCACTCCATCAGAGCTTTCACTCCATCAGAGCTTTCACTCCATCAGAGCTTTCACTCCATCAGAGCTTTCACTCCATCAGAGCTTTCACTCCATCAGAGCTTTCACTCCATCAGAGCTTTCACTCCATCAGAGCTTTCACTCCATCAGAGCTTTCACTCCATCAGAGCTTTCACTCCATCAGAGCTTTCACTCCATCAGAGCTTTCACTCCATCAGAGCTTTCACTCCATCAGAGCTTTCACTCCATCAGAGCTTTCACTCCATCAGAGCTTTCACTCCATCAGAGCTTTCACTCCGGCATCACGTGTCATCACATGTCGTCACGTCCATCTATTACCATGCACTCCGCTCTCTATTACCTCCACCGTAACATCACCTCCATCACTCAACTCTAGCATCACCTCCATCACTCAACAACTCAACATCACGCCATCACTCAACTCTAACATCACGCCCATCACTCAACTCTAACATCACGTCCATCTATTGCCATGCGCTCTCTCCTCCTCCTTACCGACGAGAGCTCAAAGAGCATCTTGAACTTGAACTGGTTCTTGCGGCTCTCCGTGATGTCGTTGACGAGCCACATGTCACCAAATCCAAGGGAGTACGATGTGGCGTCCACCAGCAGCTTGGAGCCGTCCTTGCGCTGCAAGCACGGTATGGTACGGGATGGGATCAGCCAAGGGAAAGGAGGGAGGGGCAGTTCCTGCGACTCTCTGGGACGAGCCACATGCCACCGAATCCCAGGGAGTAGGAGGTGGCGTCCGCCAGCAGCTTGGCGCTGCACGGCACGGCATGGCACGGCACGGCATGGCACGGCATGGCACGGCACGGCATGGCATGGGGTGGGGGTGGGGTGGGGTGGGGTGGGTCACGGGAAAGGAGGGAGGGGCAGTTGTTGCGGCTCCAAGCTATGTCGTTCACGACGCACGTGCTGCCGAAGCCAAGCGAGTAGGAGGTGGCGTCCGCCAGCAGCTTGGCGCCGTCCTTACACTGCATGCATGGGATGGGATGGGGTGGGATGGGGTGGGATGGGATGGGATGGGATGAGATGGGGTGGGGAAAACTGGGGGTTGCTGCAGCTCTCAGCGATGTCTATGCCGAGCCACATGTTGCCAAATCCCATCAAGTGCTGATGTACTTCCTCTACGCCTAGTGTTGTTCGTTGAGGGCTCTAGAAAACCAACTCATTCATCCCATCATCTGCTAGTGTACTTCCACCACTGCACCTTTGCCGCGAGCAGCGCACACACAGACACACAGACACGGAGAGACACGGAGAGACACGGAGAGACACAAGTAGACGCCTGCGAAGAGGGCCCCAGGGGGACGCAGCTGAACGTGCTGAACACGTTGTTGCAGTGACAACGTGTGCAGCAGCTGACTTTTGAGTCGACTAAAAAATGACAACGTGTGCAGCAGCTGGCTTTTGAGTCGACTAAAAAATGACAACGTGTGCAGCAGCTGACTTTTGAGTCGACTAAAAAATGACAACGTGTGCAGCAGCTGACTTCTGAATCGACTAAAAAATCACAACGTGTGCAGCAGCTGACTTTTGAGTCAACTAAAAAATCACAACGTGTGTAGCAGCTGACTTCTGAGTCGACTAAAAAATCACAACGTGTGCAGCAGCTGACTTATGAGTCGACTAAAAAATCACAACGCGTGCAGCAGCTGACTTTTGAGTCGACTAAAAAATGGCAATGTGTGCAGCAGCTTCTGACTCGACTAAAAAATCACAACGTGTGCACAGCTGACTTTTGAGTAGGCTTGAGCATACTACCCGCCCGGGTCGGGTACCCGGACCCGGATCCGCTTTTAGAGCAGGCCGGTATCTGGAATCCTGAAAATTACCCGACGGGTCGGGTCCGGGTTACCCGGGCGGGTATTCGATACCCGTTACCCGAAATCTTACCCATCATGTCGGGTAACGGGTACCCGACCCGCCGGGTATTGAATACCCGACTTCGGGTACCGCCGCTCTCATGCTGGCAAAAACGCTACCCGGCCCAGTTTAGGTTGTTTTTTAAATACCACGCTGTCGACGCCCACCCTGGGGGGCATTTTTTCATGGGCGGGTAGCAATAACCGCTTTTAGCCTAAACCGGGTCGGGTATACCCGGATCGGCCTGGCGGGTATTATATTACCCCCCATTAAGGGCCGGATCCGGGTAATGGTCCTGGGGGTATTACCCGACCCGAAAATACCCGACCCGAGGTCGGGTATGGCAAAACCGGGTCGGGTCGGGTATTTACCCGGTTTTGCTCATCCCTACTTTTGAGTCGACTGAAAAATCACAACGTGTGCAGCAGCTGACTTTTGAGTCGACTAAAAAATGACAACGTGTGCGGCAGCTGAATGTGCTGGGCAGGACATTGCTGGGCTTTAGTTTAGGGCGCTCGTTGTTGTTCGCCCGCAAGAATCGCGCGGCATCCGCTCCAGCTACGCGCCGGCTCGCCGACGAGCCGAAAGGCTCGGCTCGACGCCGGCTCGTCAAGAGTGGGCGCGACGAGCCGAGCCAGGGTAAAAAAAAAACCGGCTCGGCTTGCCCGGCTCGACGCTATGCCCATGTGTAGGGCACAAACAGAGAGACATGAATTCTCATTCACCCGGATGGGCAGCACGATGTTGAGGACTTGTTGCGAGCACCGCCCACCCGCCGCCCCTCCGCTGCGCCTTAGCTGTGCTCCAGCGGCCATAGAGCACTGTGTTCCCGCAAAGACACAGCGTCCGCTTCTCTATGGTGTCGATCGAGACCGGTAGAGACAGCTACAGATAGATACGGACAGATACGGACAGATATGGACACTCACCTGGATAGGCAGAGAGGGGGGGACCGCACTCGCAAAGCCAGCAAGAGGGGGGACGCACCCGAATAGGCAGCACGGTGTTGAAGACGTTGCTGCGAGCAGCCCGCACTCGCCGCCCCTCGTACTTGCGCTGCGCTTTAGCGGCGTTCTCGCAGCCATAGAGCGCGCGGAACCACTTCTCCATGGTGTCGATCTCGCCCCGCCCGCACCCCAGCAGCTGCGCCGCCGTGCCGTTGATCAGCACCTCCTCCCTGCCGTCCAGCGATCTGGTGATCAGCACTGCGCCCCCAGGGAGATTCTCCACCATCATTTTATACTTCCACATGGTTTGTTCCTGTAAGGGGAGAGGGGAGGAGAAAACGGGGGGGGAGGGAGAAAACGGGGGAGATGGGTGGGGGAATGTGTGAGAGAGAAGCAAGACACTTGACTTCTTCCCCCACCCGCACCCCAGCAGCTGCGCCGCCATGCCGTTGATCAGCACCTCCTCCCTGCCGTCCAGAGACTGGGTTATAAGCACAGCGCCACCTGGCTAATTCTCAACCATCATCTTGTACTTCCACATGTTCAGCTCCTGTTTTAATCAGAAGAGAGGGGGAGAAACGAGGGAGAAGGGGGAAATGGCGGAGAGAGGAGAAAGCGAGGGGGAACGGGTGGGGGAATGAGTAAGTGCGGGAGAGACCAGGCACTTGGCTTGTTCCCCCGCCCTCACCCCAGCAGCTGCACCGCCATGCCGTTGATCAGCACCTCCTCCCTGCCGTCCAGCGACCTGGTGATCAGCACTGCGCCTCCTGGCAAAATTCTTTTACTTCCACATGTTTTGCTCCTGTGAGGGGGAGGAGCAGGAAAGAGTGAGGGAGAGAGCAAGAGAAGCAGGGGAGGAAGTTTGCAACATATCGCTCCATCCCGCCCGCACCCCAGCAGCTGAGCTGCCGAGCCGTTGATCAGCACCTCCTCCGTGCCATCCAGGGACCTCGTTACAAGCACTGCACCGCCTGGGAGGTTTTCCGCCATCATTTTGTATTTCCACATGTTTTGTTCCTGCTTGGGTGGACAGGGAGAAGAGGGGGAGCGGGAGAAACATCATCAGGTAAACTATGAAGGACACCAATACCAGAAAAGAAACCACTCACATGATATCACAAGGCATCAAGCTACATACCAGTGCAAACACAGAACCTGCCTGCACCTCCTACACCAGTGGTAGGCACACCACATACCCTTTATAAACAACATCATCCTCAAACCAAATACCAGTGCAAACACAGCATCTCCACCTCCTACACCAGGAACACTCCTTAAACCCATTAAAAAACAGTCACGACTCACAATCTCACACCGCATACCCATTAGAAGCAACCTCATTCTCACACCGCATACCAGTGCCTTTCTGTTGCTAATGTCTTCCAGCAAACACAACACCTGCACCTCCTACACCACTGGTACACCACATACCCGCTATAAACAACCTCATTCTCACACCACGTACCAGTGCCTTCCTGTCGCTTATGTCTTCCAGCAAACACAGCACCTGCACCTCCCTCGCCTCCTCCCCTTCCTTCTCCTCCTCTCCCTCTGTCTTCACCTCCCCTCCTCCCCTCCCAATCTCCTCTTTCTCCGCCTCCCCTCCTCTCCTCGTGTTCTCCTCCCCATCCTTCTCCTCCCCATCCTTCTCCTCTGCATCCTCCTCCCCTGCTATCCGCCTCTCAGAATCGCCTCCCCCATCGCCTGCTCTCTCATGCCTCCTTCTCCTTCTCTCCCCCTCGCTGGGCGTTTCATTATCCTCCTGCTCCTCCTCATCCGTTGTCTCACCCACACTCGCCTTCTCCCCAACCCTTTCACTCTGCACCTCTCTCCCATTGCCTCTCCTGCCAGGAAGGCTGCCAGCCTCTTTCCCTTCCTTCCCCATCCCAGCTGCTGCCTCCCCACCTGCTGCCTCCCCAGCTGCAGCCTCCCCAGCATCACCCACTTCAGCTGATGCCATATCAGGTGCAGCCTTGGCTGAAGATTCAATAAGCCCTTTACTCGGCCCTTCCATAGCAGCTGCCCCCTCCCCTGCCCATGCTCGAGGAGCCTCAAAAACAGCCTCGGCTGAAGCGTCAACCCCTCCGTCTTCCCGCCCTTCCTCACCAGCTGCCCCCTCCTCCCCAGCCGCCCCCCTACTTCCCCCACCCAACACTTTCCCACCACCATCCAAAAGCGAATCGAGGCTACAGGTAGACTCCAGGTTACCACAGTTTGGCCTGCTTTGAGGCGCCTGGGCCTTAGCGTGTGTGATGCGGTGGCATGTGAGGCGCACCCATCTGATGGCCCCGTCAGCTGCGCGCACCCTCACCTCCTGCTGCATCCGCTGGGATATGCCGCTGTGCACACTCGTGTAGTCGGACTGGGGAGGGGGGGGAGGGAGTGCGGGCGGGGGGAGGAAAGGGGATTGGGGGGGGACGAGGGAGAGGGGCCTGTGATTCCTTGAGTTCTCACCTCCTGCTGCATCCGCTGGGATACGCCGCTGTGCACACTGGTGTAGTCGGACTGGGGGGGGGAGGGGGGAGTGTGGGGGGAGGGGGAGGGGAAAATGGGGGGACCAGGGGAGAGGGGCCTGTGACTCAATGAGTGCTCATCTCCTGCTGTATGCGCCGCGCCGTGCTGCTGTGCACACTCGTGTAGTCGGACTGAGGGGAGCCAAGGGGGGGAGACCGAGGGCGAGGGGACTTTTGGGTCGACTCAAAACGCATCTCCTGCTGTATGCGGTGTGCCACACCGTTGCACACTGGTGTAGTCGGACTGCGGGGATAACAGGGGGGGGGGGGGAGGGGAGATCGGGGGGAGGGGAGACTTGGGGGAGGGGAGACTGGGGGGAGGGGAGACCGGGGGGAGGGGAGACTGGGGGGAGGGGAGACCGGGCAGAGGGGAGACTGGGGGAAAGTGAGACCAGGGGGAGGGGAGACTGGGGGGAGGGGAGGTTGGGGGAGAGGGGCCTGTGATACCAGCCAGATCACATGGCGCACCTCCTGCTGTATGCACCATGCCACCACGCATCATAAACAGAAACACTGGGCACTCGCCCTTCCATCAGACCTCTTCCTCTCCCCATGCCCCCAAAAAAACTTCTCTCCCGAAAGGCGGTACATGTGGAATCGTCTCGTCAACAAGCTCCTCCCTCTACCCCCACCTGCCCGTTCACCCGCCCTTCCACCACGCCTCATTCCCTCCTCTCCCCGTGCCACTGAAAAACCCTCTCTCCCGAAAGGAGGTACATGTGGCTGGCATGGCATCGTCAGCAAGCTCCTCCCCTTCCACCCGCCGGTTCACCTGCCCTTCCTCCCGCACCCCCTCAGCCTTCCACCCCTCCCCTCCCACCACACTCACCACAAAAGCAGCACACGAGGCATCATCAATAAAATCGCTCATCCCGCCCGCCCTTCCACCTGCCCTTTCCTCTAACCCCCCCCCCCGCTCCCCCAACCTTCCACCCCACCCCACCCCTCCCTTCCCAGTCCACTCACTCACCACAAAAGCCGCGCGCGACGCATCATCAATAAAATCACTCAGCACCCGCTGTTCCACCTGCCATGCTGGCATTCCGACCGGAGCCACCCCATTGGCCGAGAATCTCCCCCCGAGCATCCGATTGGCCGGCGGATTGCATAGGGCGACCCTCCCCTCTGCCCCTGTTAGAGTCACAGCCCCTATGCCTGCCAGGTTCAGCAGTGGCATACCCCTATCCACAGCTTCCGTTGTAAGCACATCTTGATTAGAGGAAGGATCTCCCCACGTTATGGAGCCTGGCGTGGGTGACTGTATCAGATTTCTTTTACCGAGGTTGGTTGACGGGGAAAGGTGGGGGGGTGGAGGATGGGGAGGGAGAGGGGAGGAGATGGTGGGGGTTAAGGGCGAAGAGAGAGGAGAGGAGAGAGGGAAGGGAGAGGAGAGGGGAGATGGAGAGGAGGAGGATGAGGGGAAATGCGGTTGGGGGCTTAGGAGAGGGAGGGGAGAGGCGGGCTTGGAGGGTAACCGAGGGGACGAGGGGGGGAGTGAAAGGGAGGAGAGCAAGGATTTGGAAGACGAGGAAGGGGGAGAAGCGAGAGGGAGCATTGGGGAGGTCGGTAATGAGAGTTGCTGCGGCTGCTGCTGCTGCTGCTGCTGCTGGTGCAACTGGTGATGCTGCTGCTGTTGTTGCCTGTGATTCACACCATGGGGGGAAGGGGGCCGACGGGGGGACACCAGTGGGGGCTGGGACGCTCCTTTATGCTGATAATGCTGCTGTTGCTGCTGTGGATGGTGCTGCACGTGGTAAGGGTTAAGAGGGTGAGGGTGAGGTTGGAGGAATAGATTGGGTGGAGGTTGGAGTGTCTGCGGCTGGGCTTCACCCGGGGCTGTGTTGGATTGATGCGGCTGCTGCCATTGCTGCTGCTGCTGCTGATGCTGCTGCTGCTGCTGCGGCTGCTGCGTTGACTGCAGTGGGTGATGTGCGTGTGCATGCGGTTGCGGCAAGGGAAGTGGCGTGGAGTAGGGAGACTGCAGCTGCGATGGTGACTGTAGCGGTTGTGACCTTGTGGGCTTGAGCTTGGAGGGTTGTGCATGAAGAGACGCGGAATGAGGAGAGGACAGGTGTACTGCCATGCACAGAGCGGGGGGCGGTGTTTGGCCGGGGGGCAGGGAGAGGGGGAGGGGGAGGGGGAGGAGGGGGGCAGGGAGAGGGGGAGGGGGAGGGGGAGGAGGGGGCAGGGAGAGGGGGAGGGGGAGGGAGAGGGGGAGGGGGAGGAGGGGGAAGGGAGAGGGGGAGGGGAGGGGGAGGGGGAGGGGGAGGGGGAGGGGGAGGAGGGAGACACGACAGTTGAGGGGTAAAACACACACGCATGCACACACACACACACACACACACACACACACACACACACACACAAAACACGCACACACATGCACGCGCATGCGCACACGCACACATATGCACGCGCACGCGCACGCACACACGCACACACATACGTTAGAACAGTGGCACCCACACCCACCCACCAGTGACAACGAGGTCGGAGCAGCCTGCTATGTGGAAGAGCTGCAGATCGACCACCGCAGGCACATGCACCATCTCACACACAGAGAGACAGACAGACAGGGAGAGAGACGCGCACACCCACCCACCCACCCACCAGTGGCAACGAGGTCGGAGCAGCCTGCTATGTGGAAGAGCTGCAGATCGACCACCGCAGGCACATGCACCATCTCACAGCTGCCAGCCCTGCTGCTCGTGCTCATCCCCCTACTGTCATCCCTGACACTGCTGCTGGCCTCCCTACTATCACCCCTGCTGCTGGCACCCCTGCTGCCATCCCAGCTGCAATCTCTGCTGCCGCTGGGAGGAACACCAGCAGCAGCAGCAAAGGCGGCAGGAGGAGCAGCAGCAGCAGCAGCAGCAGCAGCAACAGCAGCAGCAGCATGTGAAGCAGCGTCACCAGGCAGGGAGTGAGGGTCTGAGCGACCCAAATCCAGCGATCCTGTTGTGGCCGACCGTCCTCCCCCCCCTGGCCCCCCGAAGCCACTCCCTCTCAACACATCCCCTCCACTTGCACTCCTCTGCCTCCTCTCTCCCTCCCCACTCCACCGCCCCTCCCCTCCCTTCCACCCGGCACTATTCCTGCCCTTAGCAGTGCTGTCAGCAGCACCACCATCTGCTGCACTGTTGGCCCCACTACCCGGAGCAGCAGCAGCAGCGGCGGCGACGGCAGCAACACCACCAGGACCGGCAGCAGCAGCAGCAGCAGCAGCAGCACCTGCAGTACCAGCACCACTAGCAGCACCACCGGCAGCAGCACCAGCAGCAGGAGCAGCAGGGCGGCGAGGAGAGGGAGGGGCCTTTCCAGCTCCAAACGTGGATCGGAGCATGCTCCGTATCCAAGAAGACTTGCCCCTCACACCGCCGCCAGTACCAGCAGCAGCACCAGCAGCAGCACCAGCAGCACCAGCAGCAGCAGCAACAACACCAGAACCAGAACCGGCACCGGAACCAGCAGCAGCGGCGGCAGCAGCAGCACCATCAGCAGCAGCAGCGGCGGCAGCAGCAGAAACCTCTGCCTGATGCTGAGCAACAGCAGCAGCAGCCACAGCAGCAGGATCAGCAGCATCCAGCAACCCCCCTCTGCTGCTGCTCCTGCTGCGTCGCCTTCCCTTCAAGCTCAGGCCCCCCCCTTCATCTGCCCCCCCTTGCACGCCTCCTCCTACGCTCCCCACCCTCCCATGTGCAGCACCACCACCAGCAGCACCAGCAGAACCACCAGCAGCACCAGCAGCACCAGCCTTAGCAGTGGCAGAGGCAGTGGCGGTGGCAGTGGCGCCACTCCAGCTATAAGACACAGGCACGAGGGGGCGAGGAACGTTGAAGCTGAAGCTGCTTCTGGCGGGTGCACACTCGCTGTCTTCCTCCTCCCTGCCCCCCCTCTCTCTGCTCTCCCCCTCTCCAGCACCCCCACCATTCCTCACCCCCCCACTGCTTTCTTTTCTCGTCGACTCAAAAGCGCCCGCCCTCCCTTCTGAACCTCCACCAGTCACCGCCTCCCCTTGTCTCGCCGCCTCCCCAGTGCTTTGAGCGGCAAATTGCCGTCCTGGCTCTGGGAATTTGGAGCCTTGAATCCCCGGAACTGAGGGGGTGTGGTCTGGGGTGGACGAGCTCGCAGGGAAGGCGAAGGGAGATGCGGGTGCGGCCTTGATGCTCGCCCCATGCCCTGTTGGTGCATGCACGACAGAACGTGGCCCGTGGCCTGTTGAAACGAAATCGTCAGCTGCAAACTTGAGACCGTTGCTCGAGAGGTCGCGAGCCAAGCTCCTGAACTGCTGCTGCTGATGCTGCTGCTTGTCCTGCCCCCCCCTATCTCCACCACCGCCACCACCGCCACCATCACCACCGCCAGCGCCACCACCAGCACTGTAATCGCCCTCTCTAGTGCTCCAACCGCTCCCTCTCGAGTGCTCCCCAAACGACGACCTCCCCTCCTCCTCACTCCAGAACCCTGCTCCCTCCATCCCCGCTACAGGCAGCTCCACCTGCTCCAGATTAACCGTGTCCACTCCCAGCTGCTCACTCTCTATCAGTTGCCCCGACCCGGACCCCAGAAACCCCCTAAACCCCATGCGGCTGCTGCCTGTGCGGCTGCTGCCTGTGTGGCCACTGCCTGTGCGGCTGCTGCTTGTGCCACTGCTCCTGCCTTGGAGCAGACCCGCACCAGAGCCCATAAACCCCCGGAAGCCGGTGCGACTACCACCTTGCAACAGAGACGGGTCAGAGAAGCCCACCCCTCCGTCGTCGTCACCCGCCCCCCCATCCCCCCCCTCTCCCGCTCCTCCTCCTCCTTCTCCTCCTCCTCTTCTTACCCCTCGCTCCCCTGCACCCAATCCGAACGGCTCACTGTAGAAATCCGAGAATTTACCCGCGGGAGACAGGCCAGAGCCCGATCGGACAGCAGCAGTGGTAGTGGTGGGGGTGGGGGTGGGGGTGGGGGTGGTGCTGCTGATGATGCTGTCGGGGACGGTGGCAGTGGCGATGGTTGTTTCCACACTGCAGGTGTTGTCGCCGCCCCCACTGTCAGCAGTGGCAGTACCAGCAAGGGCACCAGCAGCGGCAGAACCGGCAAGAGCACCAGTAGAGGCAGCAGTAGGGGCAGCCGGAGGGATAGCAGCAGAAGCACAAGGGGAAGGAGGAGGAAGAGGCCTTGGCGCGGCGGAAAACGGGGATACGGGTAGTGCATCGAAAGAACCCTCAGTTTCCAGGCTAAATAGCGCACTTCCCCCTCCTCCACCACCACCATCCCGTCCTCCTCCTCCTCTTGCCCCTCCGCCTCTCCCACCCCCCTCCTCTCCTACTCCCTCACTCGGGCCAAAACTCATCCCCGTTATAATCACATCCCCGTCACTCCCAAACCCGCGCATATCCGTTCCAGAGGCCGTCCTCTGCCTGCAGAACTGCCTGCGGCCGCCCCTGCCCTCCCCACCCCCCGCTATAGTCACACGCCCCTCCCCTTCCGATTCAGACATCGCAGCAAGGGGGTCTAGAGCATACGGCGAGGTGGACGGGGAGAGGCTGGAAACATTAATAGGGGAAGTTCCCCCAGAAAGTGTGAACAAGTCTCCAGGTGTGTCAGGGCGGGATGAAACCGCTATAAGTTCCCCCGATTTGCTTTTTGGCGCTCCAAGCGTTTCTACAGGGAAATGTGGATGCTGCTGCGGAATCCTTCCCCCTTCTGCACGGACTCCCCCCGCTTCTCCGCCCCTTCCGCCCAACGCACCTTCTCCCGCGCCTAGAAGCGCGGCCGCTGCAGCAGCCACGGAGGCGGAGGCAGAAGCGGAGGGTGAGGCGGAGGCAGAAGCGGATGGTGAGGCGGAAACGGCGGCGGGGGCAGTGGCGGGGCACGTGAGGGTGAGGGGAAGCGCGGCCGAGTCGATTTGCGCCGTCTCTAGGCGCTGCACGACTGCGCGCCAGTCGTTCAGCGGGAGAGGCGCGGCCAGGCGGAGAAGAGACGTCTGGGGAAGGGCAAGGGGGCGTTGGGGGAGCGGAAAGGGGGAAACGGGGAGGGGAAGACAGTCGATTAGCAGGAAGAAGGGGATCGGAAACTCGTCGTTCGTTGGTCGTCAAGCGATGGTGCGACACTCGCCAAGCGCCAGCGGAAAGCCGCTACCAGGCGGGAAACGGAGCATTTGGGGAAAGGCGAACTCGTTTTTTTTTTTTTTTTTTTTTTATCGGAATATTTTACTAAGGGGGCTGGACGCGTTACACTCTAGCAAGTTTCGAAATACCGCTAACTGATACGCGCGTGATCAAGACTCAGGGTAGGGCTTGCTCGTAGGAACGTGGGTGGGGAAACTACGACAAACTGGGAACACCCGGCGCGTTGAGAGGAAGGGTAATGGCTACTCGGGGGAATTCGCTCTATCTCCAAGAGCAGTCTGTCTTTGAGCGCAGCGCTCACGTCGAACGACATTGGATTAAGGAAGGGATAGCACGGATTACAACGTCGACAAGAACCACGCACTGGAGGAACAAGAAGGCGACAGGGAGAAAAATAAAACAATATTTTAAAAAGGAGACAAACGAGATGCACGAACATCCAGCCATGCTTCCAAGAAAAAGAAAAAGAAAATAAAAAACGAACCTTGGAGTAAAGGAGAGCAAACACATCACATACTTCCAATGGAGAACCCACCGACAGCAGCTCGTCGGGCGAGTAGCCGAGCGTCTTAACCGCTCCTTTGCTCGCGTGGAGGATCGCGCCGTCGGTCGGCCGCAGCACGAACTGCACCGAGTGCGAATGGCACACCACCACTCCCATCGTCGACACGCCGCCGCCGGCGACAGTACTACCCACTCCGAGTCTGACTACTCCGAGTTTATTCGGCGTCGGAACCCTAGCAGTCTCGATCCCCACGCCATTATCAGGCACGCCGGCGGCTACAGTAACTCCGATACCGTTTCGATCTGGAGTCGAAACCCTATTCTCGATTTCGACGCCATGGTCGGGCGTGAATGGGATTCTAGAATCTCCTGAGACACTAACGGGTGTGACATTACCGGGAGGTGACGACGAGGTGGACGTATTTGGGTAAGGGCTGCCGAGTTTCGGCGCGACGCGGGACGACAGGGTTGTTGGTGAAGCCGGTCGTTTCGCGCGCTGGTGGTGATGCTCATGCTCTTGCTTCTGCTGCTGCTTCTGCTGTTTCTGTTGCTTCGCCTGTTGCTGCTGCGAGTTTTTCGCGCGTGATAAAATGCCATTTGAGGGAGCCATGGCAAACCATTACCTTAAGTACTATTTTCGCGTTTAGCGGAAGCAGAAAGAAGAACCGTCGATACTGAAACCCGGTCCTAGACTAACTAACTACTACTCCTCAGACTTGGGGAAACATGCTCAGGTGGAAATGGAAACATGCTCGACACAGCCTACGGAACAGTCGATGTTGGGGAAGATCCCCCAAGCGATTGTGACTTGAGGATGAGCGAGAGTGAGGAAGCCTATGGTACACAACACGCGGACCGCTGGAATTGACAAGAAGCGAAGCAGCCAGGAGAGGTAAGTGTAAGCAAGAGCAAGTGGCACAAACACGCCAAACAGCAGAGAGTGCCTTGAGGAACAGCAAGCAGGGGAAATGGATGCCCTTGGGAGGGAGGGGTGGTTCGGCTTGGGAGGCATGGATTTTACCAAACATAGCCGTTGGTTGAGACCCTTCGTTGTTGGAACATTTTGGTGTACAGTAAAGAACTGGAGACCGATATCCTGTACAGTAATGAGTTTTGGATGGGGTGGTCCTCCACGCTGCCGAAAGGGGCATACGATGAAGATACACTCACCGTGATGTGAAATTACCGTTCTTGGAATGGAAGCGGTGGTTTAGTTTCTTGACGTGGTGCAAGTGCTGTCTGCTTTTTAGAATTCTCAAAAACACTCTGCGTGGTGCAGGTGCTGTCGCAACCCACCCCGGCCCAGCCCAGCGGCATCACAAACACAAGGGAGGGAGGGCGTGTCCAGATGGGTTGGGGTTGATTCGAATGTAGAAAAGAGATTCCGTCCTTGGCCACCAGCGCGAAAGGTTTGAGAAGAAAGCGCTGGTGGAGGGCTGTTTCGACCCGGAAAATATGCCACAACTGAAACGGGCGTAATGGTCCCTGACTCGAAGGGCCAACTCCAGCCCAGTGGGAGGACCCGGGACTGTACCTGTCGGCGGTTTGGAATTACAGTACACGTCACCCCAATTCGTGGATCTTGTTGTCCCAAAACGGTATGCGACCTTCGCGAATAGCCGACCACTGGTTGCCAGATTTCGCACGTCACCCAAATTATGACGATTCTTGTCCCAACACGGCTATGCGACTTTCGCTTACAACACTTGATCGCATGGTCAGCATAGCCCGGTTACAAGTGTGCAGTTGTAACTTAATAGTTGCGGGAGCAGGGAATTTGCTATCAGACGAGTGCTTCAGACGAAGCCGTGTTCTCGAAGCGAAGTTACCATCGCTATCGCACGCTCGCAGCTGTCGCACGTTCGCGTCGCAACCTCCACAATTTCGCAACCATATTGCGACAGCCCCTCATAAAGCACAGCCGTCACTGGTTGCATAGTCATTGTATTCTCATCATCACTGCATTGGCCATCAATATTGTCGCCTCGCCTTCACTTATACCATCGTTACAGCCACCATCGTTATTGGGTCACCGTCAACATGGTTTCGGCTTCTAAACGACCGATTCCAGAGCCACAGGAGTGAGTTTCCATGGTGAAATCCCTGAATGCTCCGCTCCATTACGGCGTTCCTGGTTGGCTCGCTGAGTGATTCGCTCTATCCCGGCAATCCCTGAGTGATTCGCTCCCAGTCAGCCATTCCCACAAAAAGTGTTGGCTACCTAACAGCGCGAAGACTGCGGTTACCCTGTTTCGTAATCGGCAATCAACATCTGCTACTCATCCCACTGCCGTCGCACGACGTCTTAAAACACCTTTCTTCCCAAATAGCTCCACTCCTCTCTCTCCCGACCCTCTCACACTCGGATAATTATCTTCGAATTCTAAAAAGCATCCCAACGGTTCCACTTCTCTCTCTCCCTGTGCAGGATGGTAGCAATATCGCTGATAGACATCAGGAAGGAGTTACAGTGCCCTATATGCCTTGGTAAGAGCGGCAGCTACAGTGCCCCATATGCCTCGGGAAGAGCTACAGCTACAGTGGCCCATACGCCTTGGTAGTAGGAACTACTGTTTGAATTGATGTGTCCTTTCCTCCGTGTACGTGTGAGCGTCTCGGCAGTGTCAATATACATCTCAATCGCTCCCATCCTGGCTTGCTTTATTTCCATCTGCATGGCATGTGCGTGTCTCACACGTGGCGGCCTCCCATTGGCCGACAGGCATCATCAGGCGGACGCGCACAGTCATGGAGTGCTTGCACCGATTCTGTGGAGACTGCATCGACAAGGCCATCAGGCTCGGGTGAGAGAAATTGAGGCTCGGGGGACAATTAGGCTCGGGTGAGATTCAGGCTTGGGTGAGATTTAGGCTGGGTGCAATTCAGGCTAGGGTGTGATTCAGGTTCGGGTGAGTTCCAGGCGTTATCAGTGGGGCGCTTGCACTGCTTCTGTGGAGAAGACTGCATTGACAACAAGGCCATCAGGTTCGGGTGAGTGGGAGGCTCGGGTGAGTGGGAGGCTCGGGTGAGATTCAGGCTCTGTTGAGGGGCAGTGCTAAGATAAGGGCAGTGAGACAGAAGCTTAGGTAAATTAATTGTAGTTCAATCCAATCGACACATATACCCTCCCTCCCCACTCCTGCTTCAACGCTTGCTTCCCCATTTCGGCAACAACGAGCCAGTGGGCAGCAGAGCAGACAATCCCTGAGATGATTCCCTAATGGGACGCATACTGTAACACCCCCCTTCCCCAACCCCCCTTCCCCAACCCCCCTTCCCCAACCCCCCTTCTCCTCCCCCTTCTCCTCCCCCCCTCCCACTCCCCCTCCCACTCCCCCTCCCACTTCCCCTCCCCCCCTCTCTCCCCCTGCCAGCAACAACGAGTGCCCCTCGTGCCGCGCTCACTGCGCCAGCCGAAGGTCCCTGAGGGCTGACCCGCGCTTCGATGCACTGGTGGCTGCTGTGTTTCCCAACCGAGACAGGATCGAGAAGGAGGTAGTTGTGTTGGAGGGAGGGGGGGGGGAGGGGGAAGGATGGGGAGTTAAGGTGAAGGTGTAAACCCAAGGTGCAGGTCATGCTGTGATGGCTGACCCGCACTTCAATGCGCTGGTGGCTGCTGTGTTTCCAAACGGGGATAGTATCGAGAAGGAGGTGAGATGGAGGAGTGAGGGTGGGGGAGGTAGCCTTGTGGAATACCAAGAAGCTGGTAGTGTTGAGGGCTGACCCGCGCTTCGATGCGCTGGTGGCTGCTGTCTTCCAAAACCGGGGAAGGATCGAGAAGGAGGTGAGATGGAAGGAGGTAAGATGGAGTGATGGGGGAAAGGGATGAATGGAGATTCATGTTAAGAAGGGGTTCGAGATGTCTCAAAGCACGTCTCTTGTCACATCGATGATGGCAAGAGAAGTCGACTTGTAATGCCTGTTCCTGGTCCCTTTCATCTCGTTTCTGGCCCAGAATAGGATCTGAAACGTGTTGGTCCTTTTTTGCGCACGTCTCTCTCTTTGCCACAAATGGGATACTCGGCTTTGTGCCTTTTCTCATCGCATCAAGCACGTCACACTCTTGAGGCGCCTAAAAAAGGGTGACTCAGCTCTGAACTGTTTTCATTTCAGACTCAAAAATCACCGGCGACTCAAAAAGGGTGACTCAGCTCTGAACTGTTTTCGTCTCATTAAGTGTCACATCGTCTCCTTTCCTTTCCAAGCACGTCACATTCGCTTCCAGCCGTCACTGCATGCACTCTTTTCACTCCCTCCCCCCTCCTCCCTCTCACACACAGCCCCGGCCCCTCTTTCGCCCCCTCTCTCCTTATCGTGCTCTCTTCCTCTCTCTTTCATTTCCCCTCAATCCAACGACCTGGCGCAGGAGATGACGCTGCATACAGAGGAGGCCAGGCGCAACGAAGAGGTCAGCTCCCTCCCTACAGGAGCTCCCTGTATCCTCAACCCTAGATTTCTTACGGCGTCTCAAAACAACAGGTTTTTTTTTTTTTTTTTTTTTTGATACGTTCAGCACTCAAAATACGAGACCCCTCAAAGCGCAACGAAGAGGACAGCTCCCCTTTGTCATCATTCCTTAGCCCGTCATTTCTCAATCATCCCTCCTCCTCAGACCTGACATCTCCCTGTCGGCCCCCCGCCTCCTCCCATGTGCCAATAATCTAGCTTTGAGACATTCAAATCTTACCCCCCTCGCTCCCCTGCACTCCCCTTCCCTCAGATTCAGAGGCGCATGAAGGAGATCTCTCGCCGCCAAGCCCAGGTCTTCTCCTCCCGCCGTCGCCCCCCCTCCTCCCCAACCTCCTCCCATGTGCCACTTATCTAGCTTTGAGACGTTCAAACCTTACTCACCTCACTCCCCTCGCTCCCCTCACTCCCCTCGCTCCCCTCGCTCCCCTTTTCAGATTCAGAGGCGCATGAAGGAGATCTCTCGCCACCAAGCCCAGGTCTTCTCCCTCCATCCCCCCTCTTCCTCCCCAACCTCCTCCCGTGTGCCACTTATCTAGCTTTGAGACGTTCAAACCTTACTCTTCTCACTCCCCTCGCTCCCCTCACTCCCCTCACTCCCCTCACTCCCCTCGCTCCCCTCGCTCCCCTTTTCAGATTCAGAGGCGCATGAAGGAGATCTCTCACCACCAAGCCCAGGTCTTCTCCCTCCATCCCCTCTCTTCCTCCCCAACCTCCTCCCGTGTGCCACTCATCTAGCTTTGAGACGTTCAAACCTTACTCTTCTCACTCCCCTCACTCCCCTTTCAGATCCAGCGGCGCATGAAGGAGATCTCTCGCCGCCAAGCACAGGCCTTCTCCTCCCGCCGTCGCCCCCCCTCCTCCACCTCCCTTCCCTCCCTTGCTGCTGCTGACAATGGTGCTGATGCTGGTGCTGCTGCTACTGGCGACGGTGCTGCTGGCAGTGCTGCTACCAGTAGTGGTGACGGTAGGTATACCACCACCACTGCTGCTGCTGCTGCTGCAGATGGTGGTGGTGGTCTTAGCACTGCATCCAAGGCAATGATACGGCCAGTCAAGGCAAAGTTGAGAGGGAGAGGTGGGAGTCTAGATGTTTCTGGAAGTAGAGATGTTGTAAAGGAGAGGAGTGCGGTGAGGGAGAAAGTGAGGGTGGTGGGGAGATATGGAGATGAGGAGGAGGAGGATGAGGAGGACGAGGAGGAGGAAGAGGAGGAGGAAGAGGAGGAAGAGAAGGATGGGGAGGAGGAGGAAGGGGATGAGGAGGAGGAAGAAGAGGAAGAGGAGGGAGGAGTGAAACACGAGGATGGGTTAGTGAAAGGGGAGGAGGAGAGTGAGGAGGAAGAAGAGGAAAGCATGGGAGAAGAGCGGGAGCGAGGGAAGCAAGAGCAGGAGACGGAGGAGGAGGAGGAGAGTGGGGAGGAGGAGGAGGATGAGGAGGACGAGGAAGAGGAGGGCGAGGAGGAGGTGGAGGAGGAGGATATACAGGTGGAAGAGGTGGTGGTGGTTGCAACAGCAGCTCGGGGGAAGCAGAGGCGATCGGCAAAAGCGGGAGAGCAAAGAGGGCAGAAGAGGAGGCTGAGAGATGAAGGGGAGATGAGCGAAAAGGGAGAGGAGTACAACAGCAACAACAACAACAACAACAACAACAACAACAGAGGTGGTGGAAGTGAGATTGAAAGGAAGGAACCGCAGCGGGGTGAGGCAGGGGCTGATAGGAAGAAGCAGCAGCAGGGACACCAGAGGCCCAAAAAAACAGAGTCGTCATTTGTAGCTAAGAGAAGCAAGCTATCAGGCGCGGGTGGTGTGCATGCAGCTGCAGCTACGCAACCAGCAGCAGCAGCAGCAGCAGCAGCAGCAGCGATCAATCTTCGCATGCGGCTGCCAACAGCAGCTGAGCTGGCATCAGCAGTCCACGAGGCACCCACACTGCCACCTGGCACCCAGGGCGATGCAGCATCTCCAGCGGCGGCAAGAGCAGCAGTGGCAGCAGGAGGAGCAAGAATAGCGTTCAGGGGAGCAGCAGGAGGAACAGCTGGGGCGTCACGACTAAGAGCAGAAGGGGCATCACATTTGGCAGGCAGAGCGGATTCTGGAGGCAGAGCGGAGGCAGGAGCAGGAGAAGGAGTAATAGCAGGTGCGGGGTTTGGGGTAGGCCCAGGAAGAGGGGTGAGGGAAGAGGCTGGGGCCACATGCCCAGCCAGGAAGATCCGCTGCCCACGCGCTGCTGTTCTGGCACGCGCACTGGCAGAGGAGAGTTCAAGTTCTGGTGGTGATGGTGCTGTTCTGGCACGCGCACGGGCAGAGGCGAGTTCGAGCTCTGAAGCATGTCACAGCCGTGATGGTGCTGCTCTGGCTCCTGCTCTGGCACAAGGTGGAGGTGGGGCTGGTGAGGGGAGTGCCCTTGAAAGAGCGCTGAGGTTTCTGCATGGTGGACGGGGTGTTTTTTCTGAGTCGTATCATGGACCGCTGATTCGACATGGAGGCAGGGGCATGCCGGGGGACGATAGAGGCGTGCAGCCACAAGAGAGGAGGTTTCAGCAAGGGCCAGAGCAGGAGCAAGGACAGGAGGAGAAGCAGCAGCGGCATAATGGGCACCAGGAGCAGAACCAGGGGGGACAGGAGGAGAAGCAGGGGGAGCAGGAGCAGCGGTACTCTGACCTGGTGCATCTGCAGCTGGTGATGAAGGAACATGGAGGAACAGGGGATGCCAGAAGCCTATTTGTTTGCTGTTCTCCTGAGCTCTCAGTCTCCGAACTCATTCAAAGGGCCATGGTCGAGCCACAATAATATGTATTGGTTTTTCATATGGTACATTGGTATGATACAGGGCGATAGGTTCGATGTGGCAAGGGCTTATACTCATAAGTCCGTTCATTCTCGTAGGGTGTATCGTACATGAATTTGCCACAAATCCATCCTCGACAGTATGAAATCTGGGAGAACTCGGTACGCGCGGCTCGGCATTCCCAGGGCAACATCCACAGAGCATATTTCACCTTCAAGACTCATCGCACGGCACACCACCTTACCGCATTGATTATCGCACGGCTAAGAAGCACCTTTGGATTCAGAACCTCCTGGTGCTGTGCGACCTTGGAATCTACCAAACCAGTCTCAGAATCCTCGACTTGATGACTGAGGTTGGAGGATTTATGAATCTCCGAGCTGGCTCAAGCTTCGAAGTCTCTATGTTTCCGAGTTCCCATATGCAGTAAGTTGCTACTTCTCTGGCTGTTTTTGGCGTGAGGGAGAGAACGCTGTAGAAATTCTCGTTCTCCACTTCAACGACAGCTCAAAACTCCCCGAATTGGAAAAAAAGCGGGCTCTGCACTGCCTTCCGTGTCAAGACCAGCCAATTCTTTCTGAGGTTACTTATCTCATCGTCGGCATCATGACTGCCAATTCCGCCACTTTCAGCTCCTCAGCTTCGTCACTTCCGACATCATGGGATCAAGACTCTTCAAACTCTATGGGAGGCCAGCTAGAAGCGTGGTTTCTGGACCCTGTCTGGTCGGACGAAGCGCCTGACATGACGGTCACCGTAGGCACGAACGCGCTCTGCCAGCTAGACGGCACCGCGACCGTCGCGTTTCCTCCGGACGCCGTATTCAGCCTCGTGTGTGACCCGTATAATCACCGCGTGTTCAAGAACGTCAAAGCGGTGCGGAACCACCGCGTGGTGCGTGATTGTAACGGGGTCAAGGAAGTCGAGATGGACATGGCGTTTTCGTTTCAGCTGCCGTTCTTTACTGGCACGTTCGACGCGCACATGCGCATGGTGCAGGACAGATCCAATCGCACGATGACCTTCGCCCTGACTCGGCCAGGATTCATGCGGAAATTCGAAGGATTCTGGAAAGTGGAGCCTCTGCTCGTCCCTGAATCGGAATCGTCTGCTACATCGTTATCCTCACCAAAACTTTCCAGCTTACGCCGCTGTGAATCTGATGAGTCTAGCAACGGCAGAAGTACCAGCAGCGACGGAAAAAGCGAGTCACTGACATTGGACTCGAAATGCGACTCACTTCACAGCAGCTGCTCCTATTCTGACGAATCTGACGAATCGTCAGACGTGAAGAAGGACATGGACGATTTCAGTACAGAAAGCCTGAAGACCAATGGCACGCATCTGACTGTAGCTGACGGAATCCGTGTGGCTTCCCGTCTGCTTCTCTGTCAGATTGTCCAGCCGTCAGTGGCACCGCCAGCCATCTTCAAGCGGTGTCTGCACAGCATTCTGCAGTTGGCGACAAGGGATGTGCTGCTGGTCTTCCAGCAGGAGGCTGCTCGCTTGAGAGCCGCACGAGGGGAGGAAGTGAGGGATGAAGTGGAAGAGGAGAAGAAGGGGGTTGCGGCGCTGACCTCTCGCATGTGGGGTCTCCTGAGTATGAAAGCTTGAACGGAGATGCTTATCGAGGCTGTGCCTTCATTTGAAGTTAGTGTATTGTTTGGAAGCAGGGCTGACTTTTCAAAAAAAGGCACTCTGATTTTACCCCCAAAAAAATTCCGCAAGTCTGAAGGACCATTTTCCAGATTTTGCCTACTCTGAAATCTCAGTATCCAAAAGTTGACTAGTCTGAAATACCCAGGGTTCAAAATGTCGAATCAGAGTCGACGCGTCTAAGTTGACGGAAAAATAAGGGCCGTAAATGATTACGTAGATTGACGGAGTCTGTACACACACGTGGCCCCTTATCTAATGTGGCTCTGGGTTGGAACCCGATGTCAAACATAAGCATAACTCATGTTTGTATAGACTGTATAGGGTCGCCTCTTAGAGGGTACAACACTCTTAGGTATATACCCTTGTACTCTCTCACTATCCCATCTATTCATTCCGTTCTAAGATGGTATCAGCAGTAGGTAGGTCCCACCACCCCCCCACGCTTCCGCCCTAGGATCTACCCCCGTGCGTCGCGCCCCCTAGGCCCCGTCGCGTCACCTAGGACCAGTCGCGCCCCCCCCTGGGCCCGTCGCCCCCCCCTGGGCCCCGTCGCGTCACCTAGGACCAGTCGCGCCCCCCCCTGGGCCCGTCACGCCCCCCTGGGCCCCGTCGCGTCCCCTGGGCCCCGTCACGCCCCCCTGGGCCCCGTCACGCCCCCCTGGGCCTCGTCGCGCCCCCTGGGCCCCGTCACGCCCCCCTGGGCCCCGTCACGCCCCCCTTGGCCCCGTCACGCTCCCCTGGGCCCCGTCGCGCCCCCTGGGCCCCGTCACGCTCCCCTGGGCCCGTCGCGCCCCCTAGCACCCGTCACGCCCCTCCTGGGCCCCCCGTTGGTGCCTTCTGGCCCTGTCGCGCGACTCCTAGCCCGTCGCGCCTTACCTCGCCTGTCGCGCCTTTCCTAGCCCGTCGCGCCTTTCCTAGCCCGTCGCGCTTCCTAGTCCGTCGCGCCGGCCCCGCGACCGTCCCAGCCGGCCCCGCGCCCGTCCCAGCCGGCCCCGCGACCGTCCCTGCCGGCCCCGCGACCGTCCCAGCCGGCCCCGCGATCGTCCCAGCCGGCCCCGCGATCGTCCCAGCCGGCCCCGCGCCCGTCCCAGCCGGCCCCGCGACCGTCCCAGCAGACCCCGCGACCGTCCCTGCCGGCCCCGCGCCCGTCCCAGCCGGTACCGCGACCGTCCCAGCAGACCCCGCGACCGTCCCAGCCGGCCCTGCGATCGTCCCAGCCGGCCCCGCGACCGTCCCAGCCGGCCCCGTGCCCCTCCCAGCCGGCCCTGCACCTATTCCAGCCGGCCCCGCGACCGTCCCAGCCGGCCCCTCGTGCCCGTTCAGGCCGCCCCTGCAATCGTCCCAGCCGGCCCCGCGCCTGTCCCAGCCGGCCCCGCGCCCGTTCCAGCCGGCCCCGCGCCCGTCCCTGCCGGTCCTGCGCCCGTCCGAGCCGGCTCCCGCGCTTGTCCCGGCCGGCCCCACGTCGCCTTCCGGCCCTTCCTCGCCGGCCCTACGACCGTCCGATCTGCACTCTCCCTGGTGCGGTTCTCCCCCACCTTTCAACGCACTGTACCGCACTGCACCGCACCGCATCGCATTGCACTACGCTGCACCGCACTGCACCGCACAGCACCGCCCTGCACCGCCCTGCACTGCCCTGCATCGCACTGCCTCGCCTTGCACCGCCCTGCACCGCACTGCGCTGCCCTGCTCTGCACTGCACCGCATTGCACCTCACTGTACAGTCCTGCACTGCCCCTGATGGCGGCGGAGCTTCGCTTCGACGCTGAAGGCCAGCCTCTGGAGTTCGAGGCGTGGCTTGCCGACCTCCGGCGCCAACTCACTGGCCAGCGGCAGGATGGTGAACCGCTTTCCGCACACCTTGACGGTACGCTCCCCTGCCCAGACCCCCATGCTGTTCTGCCCGCTGACTCCGCACCCACTGAGCGCGAGTCTACTGCTGCCACAGCCAGTGCGCGCTCTGTCTGGCTTTCTCGAGATGCTGTCGCTGAGCTTGCCATTAGCAATGCCCTTCCCCCGTCCGAGCGCCCCCGCTTTAGGTCCCTCACTACAGCCCAGGCTTACTTAGATGCTGTTATCAAGCGCTATTCCACCCCTCCGGCTGCCTCGGTGGGTCGCCTGATCCTCCCGATGCTCTTTCCTGACTTTGCGTCTTTCCCCACTGTCTCTGACCTCGCTGCTCACCTGCGCTCGATAGATGAGACCTGGCGCGCTGCCTGCACTGACGCACAGCTTAGAGCCCACCAGCCGCCCATTACCTCTACCCTTTACCTGCTTGCCACCCGCCTCCCTGACCGCCTTGCTGTCGCCCACGACCGCTTCCTTAGCATTCACCCCGCAGACCTCACCCTCACAGACTTTGTAGACACCCTGACTGTGATTGAGACCCGCCACCGCTCCATCGCCCAGACGAGCGGTGTCGTGCCGGTCCCTATCTTTCAGGATTGTGCCCCCGCTCAGTGTACCTTCTCCGACGGCTCTGCCGCAGTGGCTGAGACTGCTGCTGCAGCGCAGTTTCGTTCGGGGAAGGGCCGCCGCCCCAAGGTTGGGCGCGGCGGAGGAGGCGGGGGTGCGGGAGGGGGTGGTGGTGGAGTCGGGTCGTCTGGTGCTGGAGCGGACGAGGGGACCCTGCCCAGTCCAGCTGAGCCGCCGCCCCTGTAGTCGCAGCAGCAGCAGCAGCCGCAGCAGCCGCCGCAGTCGCAGCAGCCGCAGCCTTCGCAGCAGCCGCCGCAGACGCGGCAGACGAGTGTCCTCCCGCCCGGGTGGCCCGGCGCTGGCGGTAGTCGGGCGCGTGGTGGTGTGCCGAGTGGTGGTTCTGGAGGCGTGCATTGTCAGTACCAGATCCAGACCGGTCCTCGCCGCGGCTTCGTTTGCGGTAAGCTCGGTCACTCCACTCCCCGCTGTTTTCGTCGCCTGGACGACCTCTTTCGTCAGCGCTTCGGCCCGTCGCCAGACCTCCCGGACTGGCACAGTTTGCTTAGTCGTAAGATTCAGATTTTTGACATGGACATGGATGCCATTGTTTCTGCTCTGCATGTGATGTATGCTGATGACTCTAGTGTGCTTCCCGCTGATTACCCACTGTCGGCTAGTGTAGGTGTGCCTAGCTTAGCCTCCCCTGCTGCGTCAGGCGTAGGATCCCCTGCTTTGTGTAGTCTTTGTGCTTCCGCCGTCGTTCCATCGCCAAACGCCTCTGCTTCGCTTTCCTTCACCTTGGACTCTGGCGCTTCCCGGTGTTTCTTCCGCGACTTCACCACACTGACGCCGCTTCCTTTTCCTGCTGCCGTTTCTCTTGCTGACCCCTCCGGCGGTCCGGTAGTCGCCCGCAGTTCCACCACCCTTCCCTGTCCCGCGGTTCCTTCGGGCACTCTCACAGGTCTGCATATCCCCTCGTTCTCCAGGAACCTAGTTGGTGTCGGCTGCCTCCAGGACCTTGGGGTCACCACTACGTTCCCTGGTCACGAGCGGTATGCTGTCTGTACCGAGGCCGCCACTGGTGCCCCCCTGTCCACGTTCCCTCGGGACCCGGTGTCCGGCCTGTTCACTCTGGACACCGTGACCCCCCCGGCTGGAGCGCTCCCTCAGGTGGCTGCGTCTACCCAGGTTGCTGCTGCCTGCTCCTGTCGGTCCCTCACTCACCCGACTCTCCTTTGGCACCACCGCCTAGGTCACCCTGCGCTCCCGCGTCTGCGTCACATGTCCCAGCACGGTCTTGTCCTTGGTCTCCCATGTTCTCTCCCCGCGTTTCCCTCCTCCCCAGCCCCACCTTGCACGCCTTGTGTCGAGGGTCGGCTTCGCCGTGCCCCTCACTCCTCCTCGTTTCCCCCTACCGCCGCGCCGCTGCAGACCCTGCACCTGGCCGTCTGGGGCCCCGCCCCCGTCTCTGAGCCGCGTCGCGAGCGCTACTTCCTTGTGCTTGTCGACGACTTTACTCGCTACACCACAGTCTTTCCCCTGGAGCGCAAGGCCGACGTGCCAAGCGCTCTCATCCCCTGGCTTGTCTCTGCACGTGTCCACCGCGGTCTCCCTGTCTTGCGTCTTCACTCCGACCGTGGTGGCGAGTTTGCCTCAGGTGTCCTTGGTCGCTTTTGTCGTGCGGAGGGCATCACCCAGACGTTCACCCTACCGGACTCCCCACAACAGAATGGGGTCGCTGAGCAACGCATCGGTTTGGTCATGGAGGTGGCTCGCACCTCCATGATCCATGCCGGTGCACCCCATTTTCTGTGGCCGTTCGCTGTGCGCTACGCTTCTCACCAGCTTAACCTGTGGCCGCACCCTCAGCAGCCGCAGGTTTCGCCGACCCGTCTTTGGACTGGGTCTCCTGGTGACGCGTCTGCGTTCCACGTCTGGGGCTGCCTTGCTCACGTCCGTGCCTCCGGCACGGACAAGCTCACTGCCCGCACCCTTCCCTGCGTCTTCCTCGGCTTTCCCCTTGACGTGTCCGACTGGCACTTTTACGACCCGCCGTCTCACCGCTTCTTTCACTCTCGCGACGTCACCTTTGACGAGTCCGTCTCCTACTACCGTCGCTTCCCCCACCGCGGTCCCCCGGTTACCCCCCCCCTGTTCCTGGTCACTCCTTCCCCGGTAGTCCCTGCCCCTCCCCCTCCTCCTCCCCGTCCCGCCCCCTCTGGTGTGTCCCACGTCACCCCC